ATTCTATAATTGTGGATTTCAAGCTGTATGATAGACATCCCAACGAAGGGAGTGGGGGTGGGGGGGGGGTGTGCCAAGATTGTTGTTTTCTTTGAACGCCTGTGAACTTTCATTTCTAGTGAGTCACATAGCATCTGCCTATTTCATGTAGGTCGGTCCCTGTCCTCCTTTATTGTACCCTATCTTCTGCTATTATTTATTTGCAGTTCTCGTGGCGCTTGATGTGGCGAAAATCTTTTTAACTTCCAAGACAAGATTTTGTTTATTAGCTAACATTTCTTGATGTTCCGTTCCCTTATAAAGTCAGTGTTTTTTGTCTTCTTTGCCAATGGTATGCTGAGAGTGGTTCCTATTATTTCAGCGCTTCAAATATTTTAACATTTATTTTCTTGCTGGTATTGAATCCAGGACTGAATGCTATTGACCATGACTAGCTGTTGTATTTTCCCTCACATCTGAACTAAAAGTATATAGTTCCCCACCCAGCGTTTGTGTTGTAAACTGTAGACTGCAAAAATGTCGAGTGACCTGTTGCCACAGAAATGGATGTGCTATATAGGCTTAACTGTCTGTCAAACTACTAATTCTTTGTATATTCTGCTTCCACTAATTATGAACTGCCTTTTTTCAGCGCTGGACTCGTTATTCCGACACATCTGACATCTGCCTTATGCAGTTACTGTGAATACATGCTGCCAACTTTGCCGGGACTAGAAAATGTGTGTTTTTAAGTTCACAAAGGAGACTGATAGGCAACTTAAGTGGTTTTCTTTGGTACAGGAACGGAGCAACTATGGGGTGACCCCCGCAGTGTGATTTTTTTTATCTATAATTACCTAATTATTTTGCAACGGTCATTTATGAAACAGTTGTGATTGCCTTTTTTTTTTTTTTTTGCAGATATGTGGATTATGTCATTCTGGCCGCCTACAATCTTCCAACACCGAATTCTGCACAAGCCTGGTTTGACAGCCCGTTGTACTCCAGACACATCAGCGTGGTAAGTCCGATAGTTTGGGTAAAACGGTTGTCTAACATTCTGTACTACACACACATTGTTGTGGCAAGTCAGACATTCAAGGCAAAGGCAGTGTCAAACATTCTGTACTCTACACACATCAGTGGGTAAGTTAGATAGTCTAGGCAAAGACAGTGTCCAACATTCTGTACTCTACGCACATCAGTAGGTAAGTTAGATAGTCAAGGCAAAGATAGAATCCAACATTTTGTACTCTACACACATCAGTGGGTAAGTTAGACAGTCAAGGCAAAAAAAGAATCCAACATTCTGTACTCTACACACATCAGTGGATAAGTTAGACAGGTCAAGGCAAAGACAGTGTCAAACATTCTGTACTCTACACACATCAGTGGGTAAGTTAGACAGTCTAGGCAAAGACAGAATCCAACATTCTGTACTCAGCTTGAGCAGTTCATGGCCTTCCTCTTTTAAGTCTCGTGACCCGTAGCTCTACCTAGGGCTTCATGCAGGAAGTGCTACTTGGCTGCAGCTACATGAGAAATGGCTTTGTTTGCAGAACTTTGAGCCTATCTGCGATGGTAAACCTGCGCACAGCATGTAAAATGACATAATGCTTTGCATGGTCCCTCACGATTACATATTGGCAAGCAGAAAAGTCCGTGGCAACAAGGACAGCACGAGATCACTTGTGCCTAGTCGAGGAAGCGAGGGAAGCCCGAGCTAGCATCGTGGTCAAAAAAAAAAAAATCAAAGAGATCGATCATCAGAAGTCCGAGAAGACGGTTGTATGGTATTTGAAGATGTCGTCTTTATGTTGCGCCAATGGTTAGTGTTGAATATGTCGGCGAGGTGATAAAAGTGTAAATAATGTTTGAATTATGTGAAGATAAATGGACGAGAATAAACTGACAGCAATGTACCAAAGAACTGGAGCGGCGTTTTGTGTGTTGTCAACAACCTAGATGCTAAAGCTAGGTCACGTAAGGTTCATGTCCAAGATGTAGCATCGACTCATTCCAAGCAGACCACGCTTCATTTCAAGTAGACCAAGATTTATTACACGCACCTATACATACTACTGGTGTATCTCTTGTACATCCCAGTATAACTCGCATGTCTTTTTTTGTTGTTGCGTGCTTTCAGTTTCATTAGCTGACTCCTTATGTGGTGGGCATTCCAAGTCCATAATCTATTACTGACAGTACCGTGAGAACAGAAGACTCTAGATTACACTACAGAAAACGGCATTATAGGCCCCACTTAGGAACTTAACAACTCTAGGTCACACTTAGGAACATAAGACCCCACATTATGCTTAAAAAAATGACTCTAAGTCACAGTAAAGAATACTACACTCAAGAGTGCACTTACGGGAAATTACTCTCTAGGACTTGAGAACAGTATCTTCTTTAGTGCATTCCAAAAGTTGTGTGCCCACACTTTAACAAATATCTCGAAAACTGATCTGTGGATCACAATAAATTTTTGCAAATGATTGAGTTTTTCTTCCGTTCCTTATGATTCTATAATTTGCAATTGCTCACGTGCCAGTTTTCAGCATAGACTACATTTGATCTTCATTTGACTTATAATGGGTGCACCATTATTTAAAAAAAAAAAAAAATTAGAATTTACATAAATTAACCACAGCGTGTAGATTGTTTGGAAATCATTTGACATGTACAGCCAGGAATGATGATAATTTAGATAGCCTGTCTCAGACTGAGCGACGCACACACACATTGTAATTGTAACTGATTCAGAAAGCATCTGAGGAAGATAAGAACAGGTATGCTTCGTGCAGAGTGGCATGCTTCGCTGCTGAGGACACGAGTGAGGAGTATTATCTGGATTTTTTCACGGGTAACCGCCGGTGTGTTGGGAAATGAACACACAGGGGACAGACTGACTGGCTTCTGCACAACTTTGGTGAAGAATACTGCTACATGATAGGGCAGACGTGGTTAGTGCCTTGTGGGAGAGCGTGTACAATGCGGAGGAGCAGATGGATCACACAAGTTTGGTGAGATTGTGCAGTAGGGGGTGACTACTGAAGGCTGGCATCAAGCTCAAGGCTCAGAGGAAAGGTAAGACGGACATTTAATCAGAAAACTTCTGGCACCATTAGTATCGGAACTGTTCGCTGGCTGCTGAAGATGGAGACAAAGCGCTTATGGGAATGCCCCGGGTGCTGTGATGTCGGTTCTTGAATCAAATCAAATCAAATCAAGACACAGCGAACACATTTGCTCATCCAAGTGACGATAGACTGATGGAGTTGACAACCTGAGAATGAAACGCCTAAAGAAAAAGTGTGCAATTTTATTTATTTATTTATTTTATTTTTTTTTTTGAAAAATTTTCGTTACTCAATTAACTGTTAGCATGCTGAATGTTTGCTTTCAATCTGTGTCTAGTTTATTTATTTGTTCATTCACAGCAAAAAAGGCAATATAAAAACGAAATGTTTGTTGAAATTTTTTTTTTTAATTTCAAAGTGTTAAACAGAATGCATGCTAAATTTAAAACAGGACTACCAACTGAAACGTTTCAAGTTTGGCAGCACTTCTGAAACGTACTATTACGTCACAGCTTTACATAATACATTTGATCACACTTAAGGAGTAAACACTTAAGAACTGTGTTATTCACATGTATTGATAGTTCCTGCTGAAAATGTGAACTTCTCACTGCCAGGACTCCTCAGTTAGAGAGTGGCTTCGAGCAGGCTTGCCTGTCAACAAGACGGTGGTAGGGATATCTCCGGTGGGTCGGTTCTTAAAGCTTCAACAGGACACAGCCTTCACACCCGGTTCTCCCATCCGTAGCGAAACTCTAACGGGGAGTTTGTTCAACATACCCAAGGGCCTGGCGTATCCTGAGGTAAGTGCCCCATGAAAAAAAGTATGCATCATTGGAAATTTTTACCTGTCTGTGTTCTGGGGCCTGCCTTTGGGTGGTTTTTGGGAGTGGGAGAGATAGAAAGTGGGCGGGGGAGGGGGGCCGAGACAGAGAGAGAAAGACAGAGAGAGAATAGACACTGCCTGACAACAGCAACCATTTTTAAAAGGCGACAAATTGGTGGTGTTTCCTGCAATGTCGGAGTGCTTTCTGCCTGCAAGATGAGGAACCAACAGTCTGCATTAAAATACGGCATACAAAAGTCCAGAAGTGAAGAAACATCCACAAAGATGTGCCTAGACTGTACAGGAGGTAAACAATGAGAAAACAGAAGTGGAAGAGGCAATTCCAGAACATACTGGAACAAGATTTAAGTCAAGAATTGGAGCTTAGCCAGAACTTTACCCCAGAGTGTACAGCTGTTGAACGCTTACACGCTTTATCCCGGAGTGTACAGCTGTTGAACGCTTACAACGCTATGAAAATGAAGAAGAAGATGAGTAGCAGGATGTAGAAGAAGATGAAGACAAAGAAAAAGAAGAAGAAGAAGAGGAAGAAGAAGAAGAAGAAGAAGAAGAGAAGAAGAAGAAGAAGAAGAAGAAGAAGAAGAAGAAGAGAGAAAAGAAGAAGAAGAAAGAAGAAGAAGAAGAAGAAGAAGAAGAAGAAGAAGAGAAGAAAGAAGAATGAAGAAGAAGAAAGAAGAAGAAGAACAGAGGAAGAAGAAGAAGAAGAAGAAGAAGAAGAAGAAGAAGAAGAAGAAGAGAAGAAGAAGAAGAAGAAGAAGAAGAAGAAGAAGAAGAAGAAGAACAAGAAGAACAAGAAGAACAAGAAGAACAAGAAGAACAAGAAGAACAAGAAGAAGAAAAAGAAAAAGAAGAAGAAGAAGAAGATTTGTGTGTATATATGTGTGTGTATCTGTATATTTGTGTAAATGGCTCTATGAGTGTGTGAATGTGAGCATGTCTATGTGTGTGTGTATGTGAGTGTGTGTGTGTGTGTGTGTGTGTGTTTTGTATGCGAACAATGCTCCGAACGTCCATGTGCGAGCTCTCTGACAACCTTTAGTGATGGCATGGACGGGTGTCAGCTAATGATGCCTCTTCTCTGTTGTCAAAAGATCTGTGAGATGTTCAAGAATGGAACCAAGCACTACGACAACGCCAGCCAGATGCACTACCTCGTTGCTGGCAACACCTGGGTAGGTTACGAGGATACAGAAAGTATAAGGGCAAAAGTAAGTGGGCTCTGAGTTGACTTGCGTTTGTTTTGTGTTGAGGTGCGTGACAATCTTCCTCTTCTGTATATTTTCTGAGCACAGGAGACACTTGCTGGGCTTAAGCGTTAAACTAGCAGTAGATTTTAATGTCATGATTTCCTGAATATTTATGTCCCTGTTGAGGCTGTTAGGCGTCGCAGGCAAATCTAAAGATCAGTTTCCTGGGTAGTACGCCCTCGTTAACTTGCTGATAATGTTGTTTGTTGTTCTAACCCCACAAGGACTGTGCAACAAGCGACCAACACCCGGTGACACATAGTGCCACATTCGGATAAAGATCACTCGGGGTCGTCCGAAAAACCCCGTTCAACCGATAGTTTATATTATTTTGATGATCATTTATATCAAATGAAAAAGAGAATAATCAAATCAATCAGAAAAGTATCAAAACTGCGACAAGACGATTACCATAATATTGAATGACCAGTGCATGTCATTATTCTTCGCCGTAGCACAGGGCACAATCGACTTCATAGCCATATGTATACAAAGTTTGAGATTGGCTAGTTAGCCATGTCCAGTGTGGATTGGCACCAGAGACAAGAGATGACCTCTTCCAAGACTGTCTTAAATACAATATATCAAGGCACAACTATCCGCGAGAAACATTGGCTGAAGCCAAACTCGTGCAGTAATCGTTTCAGCCTCCAAGAACATGCTCCAGAAAATAGCTACAGGTAGTCTCCCCTCCGAATGGGTAGAAAGCATTCAGAAGTCGAAGGTAACCTCCATCATCTGGATCTACACACCTGGGCACGCATGAGTAAATGTAAATGAAAGAGTTGGCCTGATGGAATGTAACGCGCAACTGTAAAAGGGAAGAAGCAAGGACTGGGCTAATATCGTCAACGATGTAAAGACTATTCTGAGGGATAATAGCGAATCTCTGACACGATTGAGTGACCGAGGAGTTGGGTCTGCTGGAGCACGTCTGTGACGTCTTCGAGATAAAGACAAAAGTTTCTCTAGCAAAATCCTCATGGTAGCAAGCAGTAGACATACGTTGAAGTGGATGTTGCATCCAAGGACTGAGCACACATGGGGATGCCCAAAGTGAAATAACGCTGAATATGATAAGATAACAACCAACCGTCCAACTGGATATTGATGATGATGACGATAACGGTCAATTCATTTTAGACTTCATTTAGCACACTGAACAGATCGGTAGATGCGTCGTCTCCTCTTGCATATGTCCTGAGGTGTACTCGCTGCTTCTCCCAAAAGACCGGTGGTTGTAAACATATTGTTTCTTTTCCTCTCATATTTCCATTCTTAACGGATCCTGACTTTGCTCCAAATTCTCAGAAATTTGTTAGAATTCCTTTGACAACAAAACAAAAACAAAAAAATGTTTTGAAAAAGGTTAGAGCTCGAAGACAACTTATTATGAAACTGGGAATTGTGATGACCACATGGGAATCTTGAGAGGAAAGAAAAAAAAGAGTCATGGGACAATGTAAGAGGATTTCTGATAGCTGTTTGTCATTGAATGGATGGGTGTCAGCTGATAACATACTCTTGGAGATCACAAATTCTGGAGAGAAATGATTGCCGATGTCAGCCAGCAAGGCGCTTGATGACGAGAATAAATTTTAATGTCGTGGCCAGGTTATATCTTTCAGCAAACGTCGTTAGAATTGGGCTCGTGTCCGACTCGACTTGCGATTCGACTTGGTGTTGCAACCAGCGACTTATGATTGAACTTGCGACTTAATCAAACTCGATGACTTGGTTTGACTTTTTCTTCGTGGCAGGCAATTGTGAGGTTTGGTGATGAAATAATAAAAAAAATTAATTTAAAAAAAATAATATAATAATTCGACAACGTTTTCTGCAAATTCGCTACAATAAAAATAAAAAAAAAATACATTTAGTGTGTAATTGAATGCATTCAGTTCAGCTATTTACATAAAAAAACTAATGTTAACTGTTGTTTCAGCAGGATAATAAACTACTTTAATCCATAAGCGTTGTCGCATACATGACCTATAAATAATATATGAAGAGACTTGACTCAAGACTGGACGTGAGAACATTCTTGATGACTTGAGACTTGATTTCAGACTTGGTGGCAACGACCTGGGACTTGACTTGGACTCAAAAGGTGACGATTTAGCCCAACCTCTGTCTTATATGTAATTTTGATGTAGAATCTTGATATCGCTGATAATATGGTTTATCTGTCAGATAACTTGGATGGGCAATCTTGGTGTTCTAGGGGTCATGTTTTCTGCCATCGACCTGGATGATTTTAAGGGAACGGTGAGTTTCTTGAGCAGTGGTCAGCTACCTGAGATGTGTGTGTTTTAGATGGTCATTTCGCCGGCCATGGCATTTTCCAGTTCCTATTTTATAAGACACAACAGGACAACTAATCTTTTTCATGCATGCCGTAAGAGACGACAGTTTAACTATTATCAATACATTCGAAGTTTATTTATAGTCGCTGCTGTAGCCTATTAAATCAGTCAGCGTACCTAAACGACCAAGTGGCAAACTTACGGTTGGTTTAATAATAGAGACTGTTGGCAGGCATATACTTTTATTAGGGACTGAGGTTTGAAGATCGAATGTGAAAGGAATCCTCCTCTTTTTTTATAGGATTTGAACTTTGAAAAAAAAAGTGTTCAAGTCACTGTTATGTTTTTTTTTCTTTTAAAGTGTGGAGGAAACAAACACACACACACACACACACACACACACACACACACACACACACACACACACACACACAACATCTACAGCAAAGGATCTAATCTGCCAGTCCAAAAATTAGTACCAATAAATGTTCTCGAATGTAAAGGCAGCCGTTGTGATGTTCTCGACATCATCCACCAAGTACACAAAAGTCTATATAAATATGAACCTAGTAACCTAAGTCCGTTAGACAATGGCGAGGAAACGGTCCTTCGGGTTATATTTACTTTACTGTACGGAACCAACACTCATTTTGAAAGTGTTAATAATATTACACTCTTACTGACTAATTTAGGAATGGACTAAATAGTCTGCTTGGGATACCCATAAATGCCGCCTCAGTCGCAGCGAAAGTCTGAAGGTGTAGATTCATTCATTTTGATTCATTTTCCTGTTGTCTCTTATTTCCCCACCTCTATTAAATACATCGTATTTTATGCTCCACATTTTTCTCAAGTATTAGTTTTCAAATGCATTTAATTTTCCTTAGATATGTTCAGTGGTCCTGTATCTTTCATTGATGTTTGTCCAAAGTGAAATAATATTTAAAAAATAGAATAAAAAAAAAAAAAAAAAACAACAACAACCTGTATTTAAAACTGCAGTTGAGATTTTTAAATGTTACTGAAGCTGGAAAAAGCTGCCTACGTCTTGCCACTGAGTGTCATGTAGTTTTGCAATTATGTGCCATGGTGTCTTACCACTGAGTGCGGATGCATTGCAACATACGCCTGTGAGACCTGGACACTTACTAAACAAGCGGAACAGCGCATAAATGCATTTGAATATAAATGTTACAGACAAGTTCTAAGAATATCTTGGGTAAAGAAAAGAACAAATGCATCCATACTTCAAGAGCTGAATATTGAAGAGGGTTGGCTAGTAAAGACAATAAAACAAAGAAAATTGAAATATTTTGGTCACTTGAAACGTCATGGAAGTCTAGAGAGAACAATAATGGAGGGGTATATGCCTGGGAAGAGAGTCTTGACTGAGTGTCATGATGTCTTGATACTGAGTTCATGATGATTGTGTATGTCTTGACTGCAGTGTCATGATGTCCTGCTACTGTGGGTGTTCATGATGTCTTGCCAGTGTGAGTGATGATGACATGCTACCACTGATGTCATGATGTCTTGCCACTGAGTGTCATGATGATTGCCACCGTTGCTGATGGTCTTGTGTCCATGATGTCTTGCTTACTGAGTGCCATGATGTCTTGTTCACTGAGTGTCATGATGTCTTGCTACTGAGTGTCATGATGTTCCATGAGTTGTCATGAGTGTCATGATGTCTTGCTACTGAGTGTCCATGTCATGATGTCTTGTCACTGAGTGTCCACTGTCTGTCCATGATGTCTTGCACTGAGTGTCATGATGTCTTGCCACTGAGTGTCATGATGTTGCTACTGATGATGTCTTGCCACTGAGTGTCATGATGTCTTGCTACTGAGTGTCATGATGTCTTGCCACTGAGTGTCATGATGTCTTGTCACTGAGTGTCATGAATGTCTTGCTACTGAGTGTCATGATGTCTTGCCACTGAGTGTCATGATGTCTTGCCTGTCTCTTGCCACTGAGTGTGTCTTGCTACTGAGTGTCATTGTCTTGTCACTGAGTGTCATGATGTCTTGCCACTGAGTGCCATGATGTCACTGAGTGTCATGATGTCTTGCCACTGAGTGTCATGATGTCTTGCACTGAGTGTCATGATGTCTTGCCACTGAGTGTCATGATGTCTTGCTACTGAGTGTCATGATGTCTTGCTACTGAGTGTCATGATGTCTTGCCACTGAGTGCCATGATGTCTTGCCACTGAGTGTCATGATGTCTTGCTACTGAGTGTCATGAGTGTCTTGCCACTGAGTGTCATGATGTCTTGCCACTGAGTGTCATGATGTCTTGCTACTGAGTGTCATGATGTCTTGCTACTGAGTGTCATGATGTCTTGCCACTGAGTGTCATGATGTCTTGCCACTGAGTGTCATGATGTCTTGCTACTGAGTGTCATGATGTCTTGCCACTGAGTGTCATGATGTCTTGCCACTGAGTGTCATGATGTCTTGCTACTGAGTGTCATGATGTCTTGCCACTGAGTGTCATGATGTCTTGCTACTGAGTGTCATGATGTCTTGTCACTGAGTGTCATGAGTGATGTCTTGTCACTGAGTGTCATTGCTTACTGAGTGTCATGATGTCTTGCCACTGAGTGTCATGATGTCTTGCCACTGAGTGTCATGATGTCTTGCCACTGAGTGTCATGATGTCTTGCTACTGAGTGTCATGATGTCTTGCTACTGAGTGTCATGATGTCTTGCCACTGAGTGTCATGATGTCTTGCCACTGAGTGTCATGATGTCTTGCTACTGAGTGTCATGATGTCTTGCCACTGAGTGTCATGATGTCTTGCCACTGAGTGTCATGATGTCTTGCTACTGAGTGTCATGATGTCTTGCCACTGAGTGTCATGATGTCTTGCTACTGAGTGTCATGATGTCTTGCCACTGAGTGTCATGATGTCTTGCCACTGAGTGTCATGATGTCTTGCTACTGAGTGTCATGATGTCTTGCCACTGAGTGTCATGATGTCTTGCTACTGAGTGTCATGATGTCATGATGTCTTGCCACTGAGTGTCATGATGTCTTGCCACTGAGTGTCATGATGTCTTGCCACTGAGTGTCATGATGTCTTGCTACTGAGTGTCATGATGTCTTGCTACTGAGTGTCATGATGTCTTGCCACTGAGTGTCCATGATGTCTTGCTACTGAGTGTCATGATGTCTTGCCACTGAGTGTCATGATGTCTTGCCACTGAGTGTCATGATGTCTTGCCACTGAGTGTCATGATGTCTTGTCACTGAGTGTCATGATGTCTTGCTACTGAGTGTCATGATGTCTTGCTACTGAGTGTCATGATGTCTTGCCACTGAGTGTCATGATGTCTTGCTACTGAGTGTCATGATGTCTTGCTACTGAGTGTCATGATGTCTTGCTACTGAGTGTCATGATGTCTTGCCACTGAGTGTCATGATGTCTTGCTACTGAGTGTCATGATGTCTTGCCACTGAGTGTCCATGATGTCTTGCACTGACTGAGTGTCATGATGTCTTGCTACTGAGTGTCATGATGTCTTGTCACTGAGTGTCATGATGTCTTGCTACTGAGTGTCATGATGTCTTGCCACTGAGTGTCATGATGTCTTGCCACACTGAAGTGTCTGATGATGTCTTGCTACTGAGTGTCATGATGTCTTGCTACTGAGTGTCATGATGTCTTCACTGAGTTCCATGATGTCTTGCCTACTGAGTCTTCACTGAGTGTCATGATGTCTTGTCACTGAGTGTCATGATGTCTTGCTACTGAGTGTCATGATGTCTTGCTACTGAGTGTCATGATGTCTTGCCACTGAGTGTCATGATGTCTTGCTACTGAGTGTCATGATGTCTTGTCACTGAGTGTCATGATGTCTTGCTACTGAGTGTCATGATGTCTTGCCACTGAGTGTCATGATGTCTTGCTACTGAGTGTCATGATGTCTTGCCACTGAGTGTCATGATGTCTTGCTACTGAGTGTCATGATGTCCTGATGTCTTGTCACTGAGTCATGATGTCTTGCCACACTGAGTCTTGTCAGTGTCATGATGTCTTGCTACTGAGTTCCATGAAGTCTTGCTACTGAGTGCCATTATGTCTTGTCACTGAGTGTCATGAAGTCTTGCCACTGAGTGTCATGAAGTCTTGCCACTGAGTGTCATGAAGTCTTGCCACTGAGTGTCATGAAGTCTTGCCACTGAGTGTCATGATGTCTTGCCACTGAGTGTCATGATGTCTTGCTACTGAGTGCCATGATGTCTTTCCACTGAGTGTCATGATGTCTTGCTACTGAGTGTCATGATGTCTTGTCACTGAGTGCCATGATGTCTTGTCCCTGAGTGTCATGATGTCTTGAGTGTCTACTGAGTGTCATGATGTCTTGCTACTGAGTGTCATGATGTCATCTTGCTACTGAGTGTCATGTCTTGCCACTGAGTGTCATGATGTCTTGCTACTGAGTGTCCATGATGTCTTGACTGAGTCTTGTCATGATGTCTTGCTACTGAGTGTCATGATGTCTTGCTACTGAGTGTCATGATGTCTTGTCACTGAGTGTCATGATGTCTTGCTACTGAGTGTCATGAAGTCTTGCTACTGAGTGTCATGAAGTCTTGTCACTGAGTGTCATGATGTCTTGCTACTGAGTGTCATGAAGTCTTGTCACTGAGTGTCATGAAGTCTTGTCACTGAGTGTCATGATGTCTTGCCACTGAGTGTCATGATGTCTTGCTACTGAGTGTCATGAAGTCTTGTCACTGAGTGTCATGATGTCTTGCTACTGAGTGTCATGATGTCTTGCTACTGAGTGTCATATGATGTCTTGTCTACTGAGTGTCATGATGTCATCTTGCTACTGAGTGTCATGATGTCTTGTCACTGAGTGTCATGATGTCTTGCTACTGAGTGTCATGATGTCTTGCTACTGAGTGTCATGATGTCTTGCTACTGATTGTCATGATGTCTTGTCACTG